AGCATTTTGAGGAACCTCCTTACTGCTTTCCACAATGGTTGAACTAAATTAGATTGCCACCAGCAGTGTAGGAGGGTTCCCCTTTCTCCACAACCTCGCCAACATTTGTTGTTGTTTGTCTTTTGGATGGTAACCATCCTTACTGGTGTGAGGTGATACCTCATTGTGGTTTTAATTTGCATTTCTCTGATAACTAGCGATGTGGAGCATCTTTTCATGTGTCTTTTGGCCATCTGAATTTCTTTTTTGGAGAACTGTCTATTCAGTTCCTCTGCCCATTCTTTAATTGCATTATTTGTTTTTTGTTTGTTGAGGTGTGTGAGCTCTTTATATATTTTGGATGTCAACCCTTTATTGGATCTGTCATTTACAAATATATTCTCCCATACTGTAGGGTACCTTTTTGTTCTATTGATGGTGTCGTTTGCTGTACGGAAGCTTTTCAGCTTAATATAGTCCCACTTATTCATTTTTGCTCTTGTTTTCCTTTCCTGGGGAGATATGTTCAAGAAGAGGTCACTCATATTTATGTGTAAGAGATTGTTTCCTATGTTTTTTTCTAAGAGTTTTATGGTTTCATGACTTACATTCATGTCTTTGATCCATTTGGAGTTTACTTTTCTGTATGGGGTTAGACAGTGATCCAGTTTCATTCTCTTACATGTAGTTGTCCAGTTTTACAAGCACCATCTGTTGAAGAGACCCTCATTTCCCCATTGTATGTCCATGGCCCCTTTATCAAATATTAATTGACCATGTATGTTTGGGTTAATGTCTGGAGTCTCTAATCTGTTCGACTGGTCTGTGGCTCTGTTCTTGTGCCAGTACCAAATTGTATTGATTACTGTGGCTTTGTAGTAGAGCTTGAAGTTGGGGAGTGAGATCCCCCCCCCACTTTATTCTTCCTTCTCAGGATTGCTTTGGCTATTTGGGGTGTTTGGTGTTTCCATATAAATTTTTGAACTATTTGTTCCAGTTTGTTTAAGAATGTTGTTGGTAATTTGATGGGGATTGCATCGAATCTGTATATTGCTTTGGGCAGGATGACCATTTTGACTATATTGATTCTTCCTAGTCAAGAGCATGGGATGAGTTTCCATTTGTTAGTGTCCACTTTAATTTCTCTTAAGACTGTCTTCTAGTTTTCAGGGTATAGGTCTTTCACTTCTTTGGTTAGGTTTATTCCTAAGGATTTTATTCTTTTTGATATAATTGTGAATGGAGTTGTTTTCCTGATTTCTCTTTCTATTGATTCATTGTTAGTGTATAGGAAAGCCACAGATTTCTGTGTGTTAATTTTGTATCCTGCAACTTTGCTGTATTCTGATATCAGTTCTAGTAGTTTTGGAGTGGAGTCTTTAGGGTTTTTTATGTACAATATCATGTCATCTGCAAATAGGGACAGTTTAACTTCTTCTTATCAATCTGGATTCCTTGTATGTCTTTGTTTTGTCTAATTGCCATGGCAAGGACCTCCAGTACTATGTTAAATAACAGTGGGGAGAGTGGGCATCCCTGTCTGGTTCCCGATCTCAGAGGAAAAGCTTTCATCTTCTCACTATTCAGTATGATGTTGGCTGTGGGTTTATCATATATGGCCTTTAATATGTCAAGGTACTTGCCCTCTATACCCATTTTGCTGAGAATTTTTATTATGAATGGATGTTGAATTTTGTAAAATTCTTTTTCAGCATTTATGGAGATGATCATGTGGTGTTTGTCTTTCTTTTTGTGGATGTGTTGGATGATGTTGATGGATTTTTGAATGTTGTACCATCCTTGCATCCCTGGGATGAATCCCACTTGGTCGTGGTGTATGATCCTTTTGATATATTTTTGAATTCTGTTTGCTAATATTTTATTGAGTATTTTTGCATGTACGTTCATCAGGGATATTGGTCTATAATTTTCTTTTGTGTTGGGTTCTTTGCCTGGTTTTGGTATTAGTGTGATATTGGCTTCATAGAATGAGTTTGGAGTATTCCCTCCTGTTCTGTTTTTTGGAAAACTTTGTGTCTTCTCTGTATGTCTGATAAAATTGCGAGGTAAATCCATCTGGACCGGGGGTTTTGTTCTTCGGTAGTTTTTTGATTACTGATTCAATTTCGTTGCTGTAATTGGTCTGTTTAAATTTTCTGTTTCTTTCTGGGTCAGTCTTGGAAGGTTGTATTGTTCTAAGACGTTGTCCGTTTCTCCTAGGTTACCCAGCTTGTTACCGTATAGGTTTTCATAATATTCTCTAATAATTCTTTGTATTTCTGTGGGGTCCGTCGTGATTTTTCCATTCTCATTTCTGATTCTGTTGATGTGTGTTGATTCTCTTTTTCTTTTAATAAGTTTGGCTAGAGGCTTATCTGTTTTGTTTATTTTCTCAAAGAACCAGCTCTTGGTTTCATTGCTTTTTTCTATTGTTTTACTCTTCTTAATTTTATTTATTTCTTCTCTGATCTTTGTTATGTCCCTCCTTCTGCTGACTTTAGGCCTCATTTGTTCTTCTTTTCCAATTTCGATAATTGTGACTTTGGAGTATTCATTTGCGTTTGTTCTTTCTTCTTTAAGTGTGCCTGGATTGCTATATACTTTCCTCTTATGACTGCTCTTGCTGCGTCCCACAGAAGTTGGGGCTTTGTGTTGTTTTTGTCCTTTGTTTCCATATATTGCTTGATCTCTATTTTAATTTGGTTGTTGATCCATTGATTATTTAGGGGCATATTGTTAAACTTCCATGTGTTGTGAGCCTTTTTGCTTTCTTTGTACAATTTATTTCTAGTTTTATACCTTTTTTGTCTGAGAAGTTAGTTGGTAGAGTTTCAGTCTTTTTGAATTTACTGAGGCTCTTTTTGTGGCCTTGTATGTGTTCTATTCTGGAGAATGCTCCATGCGCACTTGAGAAGAATGTGTATCCTGTTGCTTTGGGTGTAGAGTTCTATAGATGTCTATTAGGTCCATGTGTTCTAATGTGTTTAGTGCCTCTGTGTCTTTACTTATTTTCTGTCTTGTGGATCTGTTCTGTTTGGTGAGTGGTGTGTTGACTTCTCCTAGAATGAATGCATTGCTTCTATTTCCTCCTTTAATTCTGTTACTATTTGTTTCATATATGTTGGTGCTCCTGTATTGGGTGCATATATATTTATGTTGGTTATATCCTCTTGTTTGACTGAGCCCTTTATCATTATGTAATGTCCTTCTTTATCTCTTGTTACTTTCTTTGTTTTGAAGTCTATTTTGTCTGATTTTACTACTACAACAGTTGCTTTTTTCTCCCTGTCGTTTGCATGAAATATCTTTTTCCATCCCTTGACTTTTAGTGTGTGCATGTCTTTGCATTTGAGGGTTTGAGGTGAGTCTCTTGTAAGCAGCATATAGATGGGTCTTGCTTTTTTATCCATTCTATTACTCTGTGTCTTTTGATTGGTACATTCAGTCCATTTACATTTAGGGTGGTTATTGAAAAATATTTACTTATTGCCATTGCAAGCTTTAGATCTGTGGTTACCAAAGGTTTAAGGTTAGCTTCTTAACTATCTTACTGTCTAACTTATCTCACTTATTGAGCTCTCATAAACACAGTCTGATGATTGTTTATTTCTCTCTCTTCTTATTCCTCTTCCTCCATTCTTTATATGTTGGGTGTCTTATTCTGTGTTCTTTGTGTTTCCTTTAACTGCTTTTTTGGTTAGTTGATTTTATTTTTTGACTTTAGTTAGTATTTGGTTGGTCTGCTTTCTTTGCTGTGATTTTATTTTCTCTGGTGACATCTATTTAGCCTTAGGAGTGCTCCCATCTAGATGTATTCCTCTAAAATACCCTGTAGATGTTGTTTTGTGGGAGGCAAGTTCCTTCAACTTTTGCTTGTCTGGGAATTGTTTTGTCTCTCCTTCGTATTTAAATGATAATTGTGCTGGATACCGTAATTTTGGTTCAAAACCCTTCTGTTTCATTGTATTAAATATATCATGCCATTCTTTTCTGGCCTGTAAGGTTTCTGCTGAGAAGTCTGTTGATAGCCTGATGGGTTTTCCTTTGTAGGTGAACTGACCTTTTTTCCCTCTCTGGCTGCTTTTAGTATTCTGTCCTTGTCCTTGATCTTTGCCATTTTAATTATTATGTGTCTTGGTGTTGTCCTCCTTGAGTCCTTTCTATTGGGAGTTCTGTGGGCTTCTGTGGTCTGAGAGACTATTTCCTCCCCCAGTGTGGGGAAGTTTTCAGCAGTTATTTCTTCAAAGCCACTTTCTATCCCTTTTTCTCTCTTCTTCTTCTTCTGGTACCCCTATAAGGTGGATATTGTTCTGTTTGGATTGGTCACACAATTCTCTTAATATTTTTTCATTCCTGGAGATTCTTTAATGTCTCTCTGCATAATGTGTTTGCCTTTTTACATGCCTTGTAATATTTTCTTGAAAGCCAGACATGACATTCTGAGGTTAATGGGCCTTTAGTGTGAGGTTTTATGTTTATCTGCCAGGAGTTAGGCTGTTATTAGTTTGCTGGTACCTTTTGTTTCAGGGGCTTAAATTTCCTATGTTGTCTTTGTTTTTGTCTTCACTTTTGCTTTTCTGTGTTTGGATTTCCTTAGAGACTTATTCTTATATAAGGTCATATAAGGTCTGATATTGGGTGCAACAAAAGGTTTCTGCTTCTCGGCTTCTGCTCCCTTGATAAGATGTGTTTCTTCATTTTGAACCATCTGCCCAGTTTTCGAGGCAGCTATTTTCCCTCTGACTTCAGCTCTCTGTTGGATCTAAGGGGAGTTGTTGATTTTCAACTTCAGTTTTTGTCTTGTGTGAGGACAGGTGTGATAACTTCCAAGCTTTTTATTTGTTTTACATCAGTCACTTTTTATCTGATAGCATCTTCTTCCCTGTCTCTGTAACAAAAAGGTAAGATCACTAATAGGTAGCTAAATTCTCCTATAGCTCCAGTATTCTGTTTAGTACATTTGCGTTGACTTGCATGAATGATGCTGCCAATTTGTAACATTTGTTGCCATCCATCTACAGGCAGACCTCCAGGTGGACAAGGAGAGGCACAATTTCTTTGAGTCCTCCCTTGATTATGTTTATCAAATCCAGGAAGTTCAGGAGTCCAAGAAGTTCAACATTGTGGAGCCAGTAAGTTTTATCTGTTAATAAATGGCTTAGAAATATTTACCAAACGCCAAGTAAATGTGGAATACTTTGGTCTTAACATTGGAATCTCAAGGGATAGTCATTGCTTAGTAATGAATGCTGAAAATGTAGACACATTGGCTTGTGTTGTTCTTGCTCTCTCACTAATGTTCTCTCTTTCTCTCTTCCTAACCCTTCTTCCGTCTGTACCTCTTTCCCCATTTTCTCTCTTTAACTATGATTTTTCTTTCTCTTTCTACCTCTCTCCTTTCTCCTCTCCTTTGATTTCTCAGTCACTCTTCCTTTTACCTCATTCGTCTCTCTTCCTTCCTCTCATGCTTTCATAAAGCTACTGAAAGTACCCATATATACTAGGCACTGTGCTAGGAAATCATGTCACCTGTGCTCAATGACTTCACATTCTACTGTTTTTATTTCTCTTATTTTATTTTTCCAACTTAAATCTCCTTTATTTGTTATAAAAGGTGATGTGCTTTGATTTGACTACTATGTTGAAACCTATCAACTTTTTAATTATTAAAAACAATGTATTCTTATTGCAGAAAGGTAGAAAAAATTATAGGAAAACAAAACAAAACCAACAAATCCCCCATACAGAGATAATCACTGTTAATACTGTGGAATTTTTTTCTCCCAAATTCTCTGTGTATGTATTTCTTTATCTATGTGTGCATGTGTATTTATAGATGTGTGTGTGCTCATGTGTGCATGTATGTATACACATGTATATGTATATTTTATACGTGTGCATGTATGTCTATGTACATATGTATCTTTGCTCACATTTATATACATTTGTATGTGTATATGTACAAAAATATTTATTCATTTATCCAATAAACATTTATTGAGCTTCTGTTATGTCCCAGGTGCTGTACTAAGCACTGGGTATCCTATAATGAACAAGAGAGACTCAGTTTCTATCTTTATGAAGATTATGCTTTCATGGGGTAGAAAAAAGGGAAAGAAGAAAACATAAAAATTTTTTGTGAGTTGTGATAATGGCTAAAACAAAGGCAAGAATGGACATCTAGTATTCAAGGAGGCCCTCTGAAAGTGTCATTTAAGACATGATAGAAAGAAAGAGAAGATGAGATATAAATAATGGGGAAAGAACATTTCAGGCACAGAAAATCACATGTGCACAGTCTTTAAGTTAGGAAAGAATGGTGTGCTCAAGGAATGAAAAGAATAATATCTTTACATACTGTTGAGAGAAAAGGAGAGTGAACAGAAATAATGTCTTACAGAAAGGCATAGATATGTAGGCATGGAAAGGTGTTTGGATTTTAGTCTGAGTGTAGTGGAAATCTACTGATGAGTGTTAAACAGGATATGGCATGAGCTGATTCTGTTGTGTGGAAAATGGTTTGAAGTGGCCAACAGCGGCAATGAGGAAATCCATTAGGAGCCTAGTGCAGTACTCGAGGCAAGAGAAGATATTGGTTTCAGTTAGGGTAATGGTAATGGAAGCAGAATAAGAATACCTGGATTATAGAGGTATTTTGGAGGCAAAACTGTCAGGAATTACTGATGGATTGGATTGAGATGTGAATGAAAGGAAATCAGGGATGATTCTTTACTTTTTGGCTAGATTGGAGAGTGGTGTGTTATTCCTGAGATGGGAAAACTTGAGGGAGAAATAGATAATTGTGTATATGAGTGTGTGTGGTACACACACCCATATATATTTATATATAAGTGTACACATAAACACAAGTGTATAGTATATACATGTGTGCATGTACATACTTTTTATGTATGTATATGTACATATACGCATATATACAGTTTCTGCATGCATATACATATGGTGTGTGTATGCATATTTATACATGTTCACCTGTTTACTTTTGAAAATGGAGCAATTTTTACTACTTCCTATTACAATTTACTACTGCCAGCACTTAGCATTATTCCTAAAATGTTTGTATTTGATAGATGAAAAATATTTTCTTTTGTTTCTATTTATGTGCATTTGATTTTTAATGGGGGTTGAACATTTTGAACATTAAAAAAATTATCGATCATTTGTATGTCTTTTGTAATGCCCCCACAAAACATTTCTAATTTAAAAATGGTTTCAGACTACTTGAATCCTTTAGCATTATAACAGTCTTCATTAAGGTATAGAATCTCACTTCATTCATGTATCCACTTATTTACCTATTCTCTCTGAGGATACAGAGAGAAAAGACACAGTCTATTCCTATACTGTCCAAATTTTAATAGTTTTATATGCTATCTGAAAAAGATGTGAATGAATAAATTTGTTGGTAGTTCTTATTTTTTGGAAGTGAGTCCAGTGTAATTGTTTACCCTAATAAAAGAATAGCTATGTTTATACCTGTTTTTGTTTGCATGACTGCTTTTAACACTAAATTGAGTAAACATTGTGTGGAGTTTCTTTTCTGTGCTTCTGTTTCCTTTATTTGATTAATGAGAAGGTGCTTGTGACAAAGTTATTTTTACACATTTTCCCTAGGTCTTGGCCTTTCTTCATAGCCTCTTCATTTCCAGCAGCTTGACTGTGGAGCTCACACAAGATTTCCTCCCATATAAACAGCAGCTCCAGCTCAGTTTGCAGAATGTGAGTTTGCATGTTGGTTTCTTTACCTGTCTCTGCATTCTGTCAGATGTAAGCCCCAGTGATGTTGACCTTTAAGTCTTGGTTATTGCATCTTAGCCAATTTGTCAGGACATACTGGTATGTATCATAAATATTTTAGTGTACTAGACTATTCTTGCTCTTGCGGTTTTTCCCAGTCTTTGAGGCTGGCTGTTGTTCAGACCCACCCTTCCACCACCACTGACAACTCTAGCTATACAATATTTATTAAGTGTTGCTAATTTGCTGCTTCTCCCCCAGAGCAGAACCCAGCTCTGGGCTTGCTTGAGCCCAGGTCTTATGCTGCTTCCGTACTGGTCAGTCAAGACACTCTCATTGTAGGTTTTTTTTTAAGCTATTCTCCACCTCAGCTTTGACTTTATTTGATGGCCATTTCAATGGACTATTCCTTTGTACACAGGTTAGAAATTTATTTGTTCTTTGGATCAAACAGAGTGAAACCATGATTAACCATTGACATATCATATTTAATTAATAAAATGCAGAGTCACTCATGAAAGAAAAAAAAACTCTTTCAGACATATCCTGAGAACACATGGGAATAAAGGACACCCTTTGATCCAGACATTGGCAGGTTTCTCAATAGACTGAAATCTCTGGGACCCTTGGGAGTTAGTTTGATGGTCTGAGGTTGAGCTTGGCCAACCTGCATTCAGGGTCAGCTCCCCCACCTTGAGATAGGGGTGCTCCCATCACTGTCACCCTCCGTGCCTCCAGGTCTGTTGGAAACAGTCATAAGCAAGACCTGCAAGAATTAAAATTTGAAGTATATACCACTAACTTTTAGCAAAAAGTTGAGTTACTGAGTAGAAGTAATCAAATGCAATTATGGCAGAGAGTAGAGGGTAGAGAAAAAAGACCGATGCTATTTTTCATCACTGGGACTTCAGATCCATGTTATTCAGCATAATATAAGGTCGTAGACTTATCCCTCACCTCTCCCTCATTGTCTTTCTTTCCTTCGTTCCTTTCCCTTCTGTAGTTCTTCTCCCTTCAGCTGTTCCTCTTATCACCACTTTCCCCTTCCTTCCTTCCTTCCTTCCTTCCTTCCTTCTTCCTCTCTCTCTTTCTTCCTCTCTCTTTCTTTCTTTCTTTCTTTCTTTCTTTCTTTCTTTCTTTCTTTCTTTCTTTCTTTCTTTCTTTCTTTCTTTCTTTCTTTCTTTCTTTCTTTCTTT